TCGAACATTTTCTTTACTAAGCGTTGGTAAGTAGCTCCTGCATTTTTTAGCCCGAAGGGCATCACATTATAACAATACGTTCCATATTTGGTGACAAATGAAGTCTTTTCCTGGTCCTCCGCGTTCATCCGGATTTGATTATACCCGGAATAGGCATCGAGAAAAGTGAGGATCTCGTGGCCAACCGTGGCATCGATCATGCGATCGATGTTGGGCAACGGAAAGGAATCTTTGGGGCATGCTTTGTTCAAATCCTTATAGTCCACACACATTCTAAGTTCGTCCCTTTTTTTAGGCACTACAACTACGTTGGCTAACCATTCAAGATATTTTACTTCCCGAATGGACCCTACTTTGAGAAGCTTGGTTACCTCGTCTTTTATGAATGAGTGCTTTCCCTCGGACTAGGGTCTTCTCTTTTTCTTCACCGGTCTGAACCTGGGGTCCAAGCTTAGCCGATGCATTTTTATGTCCGGCGAGATCCCTGTTATATATAAATGGGACCAGGCAAAACAATCGATGTTATCGATAAAATATTGAACGAGTTTTTTCCTGAGTTCGGGGCTCAACCCCGTTCCCAAGTATACCCTTCGCTTGGGCCAGTGCTCGATTAATATGACTTGCTCTAGCTCCTCGATTGTTGATTTGGTGGTGTCGGAGTCATCGGGAATCATGAAAGATCGAGGAACCCTTTGATCATCATCCTCTTCGATCTTCTGGTTATCTGGATGGGTCGAACCCGATATCTGTGATTGCTATTTGGTGTCCCGTTCTCCTTCTGAGCCCGATCCCTTTATCGGTGAAGGTGAGGATATTGGTTTAGCTTTCTCGATGACGAATATTTCCTTCGCGGCTGGTTGCTCTCCGTACACCATTTTGACACCTCCTGATGTCGGGAATTTGAGGGCCTGGTGTATGGTCGAAGGTATAACTCCCATGTTGTGGATCCATGGCCTTCCGAAAAGGGCGTTGTATCTCATATCACCTTCGATCACGTGAAACTTTATTTCCTGAACGGTTCCGGCCACGTTTATTGGTAGGATTATCTCGCCTTTGGTGGTTTCACATGCCATATTGAACCCGTTTAGAACCAGAGTTGCGGGTACGATCCAGTCCTGCAGGCCGAGCTATTCTACGGCCTTCAATCGGATGATGTTGGCCGAGCTACCTGGATCGATTAACACACGCTTAATTTTAATTTTATTCGTGAGTACGGATATTACCAGTGCGTCGTTATGAGGTTGGATGAGGGCCCCTTCTATATCTTCATCATCGAAGGACAATGTCCCCGTGGGTGCGTAATCTTGAGTCCGAGATCGCTTTTCCCTCATAACCGATGTTTTAGTGCGTTTAAGCACCGGTCCCTGAGGGGTATCGATGCCGCCGATGATCATGTAAATGACGTGTTGTGGTTCTTCTTGCTCATTTTGCTTGATGGAATCCCTGTTTATAAGATGGTTCTTCGCCATCTCACTCAGAAATTCCTGAAGGTTCCCTTTGTTAAATAAGCGGGCTATTTCCTCTCTTAGTTGCCTGCAATCTTCCGTTCTGTGGCCATGGGTACCATGATATTCGCACGTTTGGTTGGGATTTCTTTGGGCAGGATCGGTCTGCATGGGTCGAGGCCATTTAGTGTCTTTGATGCGTCCGATAGCCGACACGATAACGGATGTACCAATGCTGAAGTTATATTCTGACAGTCGAGGTGCTTCTATAGGATCGACATATTTATCAAAGTCGTTCTTACTCATAAGTCCCCGAGAATTTTGCCCTCGATCAATCCTTCGATTGTTCCGAACTATGTTGCGTGCTGAACCGTTGTTCACCCGATCTGCGACGTATGGTCGATATCGGTCTCTGTTCGACCTTTGTTCTCTGTCGATCTCCTTTTGGCTTTTAGTAACTGTCCTGTTCTGATGAACGGGTCCGTACGGAGCTCCCAACTGATCATCCTCGACCCTAATTTTCGATTGGTATTGATTGTGTACATCTGCCCAAGTTATCGTTGGATACTCGATCAAATTTTGTTTCAGCCGATGTGATGCTGTCGAACTTAGCTTGTTCAACCTTTGGGTGAAAGCTTGTACGGCCCAATCGTCTGTGACCGGGGGTAATTCCATGCGTTCCATTTGAAATCGGGATACGAATTCCCTCAATATTTCATTCTCCCTTTGCTTTACCTTGAAGAGGTCTGATTTCCTTGTTGCAACCTTTATGGCACCAACATGTGCCTTTATGAACGTATCTGCTAACATAGCAAAAGAATTGATGGAATTCGGCGGTAAATTGTGGTACCAGATCATCGCTCCCTTCGAGAGGGTCTCCCTGAACTTTTTCAACAACACGGATTCGATCTCATCGTCCTCCAAATCGTTGCCTTTTATGGCACATGTGTAAGAGGTGACATGTGTCATTAGGATCTGTCATACCGTTATATTTGGAAATTTCGGGCATACGGAATTTTTTGGGGATTGACTTCGGCGCCGCACTCGACGGAAAAGGCTTTTGTATGAATTTTTTCGAATCAAGCCCATTTATCACTGGTGGAGCCCCCGGGATTTGATCGACTCTGGCATTGTACGTTTCCACCCTTTTGTCATTGGCTTCGACTCGTTTTGTGAGTTCTTCGAGCAATTTAGTAATTCCGGGAGTAGTCCCCAATTCTTGCTCGTTAGATTGCACTATGGCGGGCTCTGTTCTGGGGGTGACTTCCCGAAGTGGATTGGAATCCGGCCTGCTTTGTGCGCGAGTTTGGCTTTATAACTGAGCTATCGCTACTTGTTGGGCTTGTAGCATCTCGAAGATCATACATAAGCTGGCCCCGATTTCCCCTGCGTTTTGGGTATCCCGGGCGACAGATCGAGTACCGCCCTGAATGTTTCTTTCCGGTTCGGAACGCTGATTCGCCTCCAAAGCTATTTGTGAATTGACATCCAATAGTATTTCGGCCCGAATTTTGGGTACTTCGATTCGAGTCTCGGTGCCATCGTTTATTGGCCTTCCGGCTCCGGGTGCCAAGTTGTTGGTTTCATCTTGAAGGCCGACTTCGTTATCGATCAGTGAAGCCATTTGATTGGTGGTTATTCGTAGCTGATCCGAAATTCTAGATGCTTTCGGAAATAAGCGCAAAGCACAATGGCGTGTTTTTTCAGATTTGTATCAAATAACCACTGTTATCCTCGGTCCCACGGTGGGCGCCAAACTGTTTACCTGAAAAATGGATAGAGTTAAATTTATACGTAGTTCCGAGGATATGTGGCGTAACTTAACACAAAATGTAAGGATAAATAGAAATGTAAATATAGATTGCAGAGAATTCGAAGTAGATAAGGTTGTTAGGAACAATGAATCTTAGGATTCAACAAATAGAATCAATCTAAGAAATCTGAAAGAACGATTCTTTACTGTAGAAGAATATAGCGCTTTTATTACAATGTAAGCCTCAGAAATACTGTTTCCCAGAAATGGTAACCAACCCTTTTATAGCGGAGGGATTTGGCTCTAAGCATAATAAAATAAACATTCAGTAGAAGACCCATAATAAGTCAGCTTTTTCACAATTTCTGCCAAGATTCTCTCTAGTGGGATTGCAAAGACTTTTGTCTGTGAGCTCGATCTTGCTTAGAACCCTCAATTTTCGTTTGAGCTTGATTTCAACTCGAGCTCTTAATCTTGGCTCGAGCCCGATCCTGGCTCGAGCCCTCGAATTGATTTGAGGTCAATGTTGGTTGGTCTCTGGATTATCAGCATGATAGATCTACTCTGCATCATGGTTCGATTTCGATTCGAACTTGATAATGATATCGAACTCGATACGGATCGGCCTCCCCGGGTTCGAGGTTAGTTTGTCCCACCTTTGGGATCTTACTTCGATAGATCATCGTTCGAACTCGATCGGACGTGCTAAGGCCGAGATCTATTTCGACCGTATATAATTTTATATTTTATCCGCGGCAATAAATAGGGTGTTCGTCGGTCGGTATGATATGATATTTAGACATTTCAGTTCAGTATTTTATGTATACGATTTCTTAAAATATTTTACAAAAATCATACCTAATTAAATTCGATATGGTTTGATTTTTCTCCTTTTTCTTTTGGATTATATTATTCAGCTCTGTAACTTCGATTTGCTCGACGAGCTCGAATACTAACTACTAACTAGTGCATAGAGCCATAGACCATAATATTCTTAATTAAGGTACACACAAATAAAAAAGTAAAAATATTATAGCTTTATATATTTGATTATTGATAAATTTTTTGTCTAAACGAGAAAAGTATCAAACTATAGAGAGAGAAAAGTACTTAAGGAATAAATTTGATTATTAAAAATATTTTATTACTTGTTTATAGTTATTGATGAAACAAAAGCTAATCTAATGTAACAATAGAACACAAGTAAGAAAACACCTTGAAATTGTAGAAATATTACTTACATGGAGAGTGCCTCAACATGAATTTCAAAGAAAATGACAATTCAAAGACCAAGAAACTACGCATAGTGATCTCATATATGTGAGAGAATCGAGTCATGCAAATTAGTCTAAAAGCTCAAACACAAGGCCAAGAGCAACAAATGCCTTGCTCAAACTATACATTCTCTTGAGCATTTTCTCAAGCACACACACACATTGATCTCATTTATGGTCTCGCTTAATATTTTTTACATGTGCAATAGAAAGTATATATGATATACCATAAATAAAATACATTGTATAATTTAGTATATATTTCGGTATTGATCAATATTAATATTCTTTTAAATATTGAATAACACACCTAATACCGAAATTTTTAAAAACTTAAATTAAATATCATATCAAATACTAAAATATCGAATATCAAATACAATTTTTTTAATTTCAATATGGTAATCCAACATTTACCAAATTATATACCGTCCTAGCAGTAAAAATGAATAAAATGGGTTGAAAAGGATTTTAAAACGAATCCGAACCCAGTAAGTGGCAAATAGAATTATCCACGATTCCCTCCAATAGAATATGTAGTTAGTTCCTCAGCAAAATCCTCAATCCATCCGCCAGAAAAAAATATCTGCAACTCTACATAATAGAGGCTGAGAACCTTGACAGTGATAGCTCTCATCTTCACCATTCCACAAAATACCTAATAAACCCTAAAAAAAATTCTTCCTAATATCAATTCAATCATCCCAATTTCAAATTTTCCTTTCCTCTAACCTTAATTCATAGTTTTTTCTTTCTTTCTACAGATGGACTTGGCTTATTCACCAATGGCCAAATGCATTTCGACGCCATTTCAATCTTTCACTCATCGACCACTCGCACTTTTTTCTAGGGTTTCCATTTCGGTACGCATTAAGCCCAAATTTGCAAATAATACTCATAATCGTTGGTTGAACATGTGTTCAGCTTCTAGCTCAGATACACATACACTTGTTGCTGGGCATAAATCTGTTGAAGTTGAAAGTAACAAAGAGGATGAATACGGGGACTTAAAATCATGGATGCACGAAAATGGGCTACCTCCTTGCAAAGTGGTTATTAAGGAAAGGCCTTCCCATAATGCTAAACATCGGCCCATTCACTATGTTGCTGCCAGTGAGGATCTTCAGGTCCATTTCGTATCCGGTTCATGGTTTTTCTTTGTTCCTTTTTCGTTTTCTTTGAGGTCAACTTGTGTTTATTTATTTATGATAAGGCGAGGTCAACTTGTGCTTATTGTAGGCTGGTGATATTGCTTTTTCTGTTCCGGATTCGTTGGTGGTAACGCTTGAGAGAGTTTTGGGAAATGAGAGCATTGGTAATGTGCTACACTGGTTTTGCAAGTACAGTTTCCATTTGTTAGCTACAGAGGAGTCAAACAGATTCTTTTGATGCGATTTTCTCAAGCATACTTTTAACTGCTAATACCCATAACTTAGCTTATAAATATGTAAATTCTCGACAACAACTAGATGTCAGTCCCAAACAAGTTTGGGTTGAATCCTCACTGACCACATTACTCCATTTAAACTCCTCTTATGCCAATATTATGCAAGTACAAATAGAAAATATTAAATGTTCTGTATATTTATAAATATGTAATGACTATTTAAGAAGCAAAATCATGGAATCAATGTCTAAATCGGCATACAAGTTAGTTGCACTGACCCTTGTACTCCTCAACATCATTCTTCTTGGGACGGAGTTAGTAAGTAAAAACTGTGTGGATTACTGACTCCCTTAAGTTAGAAAAAGAATTTGCTGTCATCCCCTCCCACCCTGTGTCCAATCCCGACATTCAGTTTACTTTTCTAAAGTCAGGGAAGTAGATTTTGTGTTGATTCAAGTGAGTCTAGTTTTAATAGCTTTATGCAACTGATGGTTGGTCAAGAATGCTTCGTTGGAATTAATGGGTGTTGTAATCTTTAGTAAGATATATAATTTGTCTTTGTTCTTGAAAAATAGAAAGTTGATGAGAAAAGTTTGTTTTACAGCTGAACTCTTGACAACAAACAAATTGTCTGAACTAGCCTGCCTAGCGCTTTATCTAATGTATGAGAAGAAACAAGGAAAGAAGTCGTTCTGGTACCCTTATATAAAAGAACTCGATCGCCAGCGGGCAAGGGGCCAGCTAGCTGTGGAATCACCTCTTCTATGGTCAGACGCTGAACTAGATTACCTGACAGGGAGTCCTACTAAGGTATTTGAAGTTTCCATCTGCTGACAGACATCAGAAGTTTAATTTTCATCGTTAAACAAGATTTTGGTGAAAATTTAGGCTGAAGTTTTGGAGAGGGCTGAAGGGATCAAGAGAGAGTACAATGAGCTTGATACAGTCTGGTTCATGGCTGGATCTCTGTTTCAGGTTTTCTAATTTCTTTCTAGTCTGATATTTTATCTTTTGTGCACCGTTGCACTCATCTTAGCAATTAGCCAGTTGCTTGATTGATTCTGATGTTAAACATTCTCTCTTGTGCAGCAATACCCGTATGATATACCCACTGAAGCATTTCCTTTTGAGATCTTCAAGCAAGCTTTTGTTGCAGTGCAATCTTGTGTTGTGCATTTGCAGGTTCATCACACACTGATAATGGCATTTTATTAAGTTTATATTTCTTATAGCTCTTTTGTATAAGAATGATTAAGACTAATTGAAGTCTTTACTGAAACCAGAAAGTTAGTCTTGCCCGGAGGTTTGCACTAGTCCCATTGGGACCACCATTATTATCCTATTGTAGCAACTGCAGAGCAATGTTAGCAGCAGTTGATGGTGCAGTGCAACTGGTCGTTGACCGCTCTTATAGGGCAGGAGATCCAATTGTTGTGTGGTATGGAATCTACCTTCTACCTTTTTTGTTAGTTTTCAAGTTTTTCTTTCAACTCAGAACACGGTAATTACGACAAGGTTGTGTTTCAAAGCTAGGATTGCACTCCAATTGGGTGGAAATACAAAGAACTAGTAATGGTCTATACTCTCTTTTTATATTGGAAATTTCACCTCTATTGGAGACTTTGAACTAGTTAAAATGGATAATAGATTTCTTTGTATTTATTTATTTTTTATAAGGGAAACTTTGGATGGATAGATGGACTTTGCTTTAGACATAACCAGATTTATTGTCCTGTACTGTTGTTTGGCAAGAGATCTCTTAGCAATATGTTACTGCATTTTTGTAGGTGTGGACCACAACCTAATTCAAAATTACTCATTAACTATGGTTTTGTTGATGAAGAAAATTCTTACGACCGCCTTATGGTGGAGGTAATATTTAAACCAATCTTCACACAATTGCATTAGTTCTTCAGTTTGAAATAATGTGCCTTTTGCACAATTCAGGCTGCATTAAATACAGAGGATCCTCAATATCAGGACAAGCGTCTAGCTGCTCAAAGGAATGGTAAACTATCAGTGCAAGCTTTCCAGGTAGAATTCTTTAGTTTTGAGGAATTTGGTTAGTGATTTGTTTTTGAGTTGAAGACGTTTTAATATGCCCTTGCGACAGGTGTGTGTGGGAAAAGAAAGAGAGGCTGTGTTGGAGATGCTTCCTTATTTGAGATTGGGATATGTTTCAGATCCTTCGGAAATGCAGACTGTCTTATCATCTCAAGGCCCTATTTGTCCGGTAAAAACTTCTGGCCGATCTTACTTATGCATGAAAGGGAAATTTTACATGGACAAAAGAAAGGGAGAGATTCTTGTAGACCTTAGCTTCTTCTCTTGTTGGAATCAAATAGGCACCTATGTCTTAATAATGATGTGTGATATGTTTAGCAGTAATCCATGCAATAGAAATTCAATTTTATGCATTTTTTACTCTCCAGTTTTACCAAAACATGTTTCATGGTGTCTAGCACGTATTGCGGAAATCCTATTCTCGGTAAAACAAGAATTAAAGGAGAAGGGAAAAGATTCATGGCTTCCCAACTAATCACTTAAACCACAATTTAAATTGGTTGATATCCAGTTACATAATAACAAAAGGTGAAAATCTTATTTCACCTTTTGATCAATACAGGTGAGTCCTTGTATGGAAAAAGCAGTTCTGGGCCAGCTAAGTGATTATTTCGAGGCAAGGCTGGCTAGTTATCCAACCACTCTAAGTGAAGATGAGGCTTTGGTAAAGTCCTGAAGCTTTTAGAGGTTGAATATTGATCTAAGGTCATCACAATGAGTCTAATATTGGTTTACTTCTCATAGTTGGCTGATGCTGATCTGGATCCAAAAAAGCGAGTTGCTACACAGCTTGTCAGGTTGGAAAAGAAAATTCTAAATGCATGCCTGGAAACTACAGTGAACTTCATTAATCAATTACCTGATCTCTCCGTATCTCCATG